TTAGGAATGGGAAAAGGCAGCCACATTTGAGTAACACTATATGTTTATTTTTAACATTGTGGGAATACTAGCTAAAAAGAAAAATTGGCAATTTTTTTCCCATCCATGGATTATAATAATAATATGCCCATGGTTGTAACATAGGGAATATTTTATTTGATTCATAATGGGGAAATGGTACTGTTGTGGGCAGTGGGGACAGCATCAGAGATCAGACTGGTGGGGTCAGACCAGACCTGAGTTCAGCAACCTCGGTACTAAGTGAATATTTATTTGGAAAATCACATAGAAGAGGTAATTCATAGAAGAAATGGGCTTGGGGAACAAGTTCTAGAGGTAAAGGAGGGACCCTGGAAGCTCAGAAGTGAGGAAGGGAAAAGTGATGTAGTCGGGAAGGGAAAGGCTCCCTCTTCCAGGAGAGGGAGGGTGTGAGGGGTCCCCATGCTAAGGGTTCCAAGGGTGGAGATGTTAGGGGAGGTCCCTGGAGAAGATCTCAGTAGAATATTCAGCAGCTTTCCAGGTGTGCCCTTTCAGGGTCTAGGTCTCAACTGATTGATTGGTCAGCACCAGGACAGGGGTCATTATTCAATGCACCTGGTTCTGAGGTCAGCCGAGGGAGTCAGTTGTCTGGTTTTGCTGCTTTTCTGGGCCAGGAGCTGAAATACAACTGAGGCCTCGATGTTATTTCTAGGGAGGAACAGTCCGGGGGGTCTAAACCACATGACCAGAGATATGCTAAGGGAGGAAAGGTCAGCCTAGGACAGTGATGGCGAACCTATGACATGCGTGTCAGAGGTGACACACGAACTCATTTTTTTGGTTGATTTGTCTTTGTTAAATGGCATTTAAATATATAAAATAAATATCAAAAATACAAGTCTTTGTTTTACTATGGTTGCAAATATCAAAAAATTTCTATATGTGACACAGCACCAGAGTTAAGTTAGGGTTTTTCAAAATGCTGACACTCCGAGCTCAAAAGTTTCGCCATCACTGGCCTAGGGGGTGAGGTGCTTCCCCTACAATGATCCCCTGCGAGGCATCTAGGGCTTTTCACCCTGGTGACCTTCAGTACCTGGCCCATCACCCTTGCTCTGTTCATTCTGTCTAACTGCTTACCACACTACTACTTAAGGCAGAAAGCAGTGACAAGTTTTATTTATTGAGGATCTACTATTTGGCTGATAGTAAACATACATTTACTCTCATCCTCGAAGCAAGCTAGTATTGTTATCCTCTTCCTGCTGATGAGAAAATGGAAACTCATGGAAGTCAAGGACATTATGTAAGGTCACATATATTTAAAAAATGCCTGGCCGGCGTGGCTCAGTGGTTGAGCATTGACCTAAGAACCAGGAGGCCACAGTCCCATTCCCAGTCAGGGTACATGCCTGTGTTGGGGGCTGGATCCCCAGTGTGGGGTGTGAGGAGGCAGCCAATCAAAGATTCTCTCTCATCATTGATGTTTCCATCTCTTTATCCCTCCCCCTTCCTCTCTCTTTCTCTCTAAAAAACAAACAAACAAAAAAACAATTAAAAACAAACTAAAAAGACTGGATCATGAAACTAAATCAACCTAGACTGAAAGCCCTTACTTCATCAAAAACAAGTTCTCTGTGTATGAATCATTTCAGGTTCTCACCTCAAAGCATGAAAAGAGTAAATTTGAACCTTTTTATAAACTTTATAATAAACTATTTTTGTTGTAGGTGGTGGGAGAGACACTAGGTGTCTGACTGGTGGGAGGGGTCAGACCAAACCTGGGTTCAGCAACCTCGGCACTTGGGTTCTGGCCAGGAAAGAATTCAGATCCAAGACCCAACCCAATAGAAAGAGAACATTTATTTGGTAAATTAGGGGGAGAAGTAGTAATTTCTAGAAGAAATGGGCTTAGGAAACAAGTTATAGAGGTAAAGGAGGCCCCTTAGAGCATGGGAGTAAGGAAGCTAATGGAAGCGTGCCTAGGGCAGGGAGGCAGAGGGGTCAGGGGAAAACACAGTTGTGCCTCCTGGAGGGAGAGCCACTGGATCTTCAATCCTAAGAGTTTTTAGGGTGGAGATTTTAGGGGAAGTCCCAGGGGAAGATCTTAATAGATTATTCAGCAGCTTTCCTCCTGTGTCCTTTCAGGGTTGTGGTCTCCACTGAGTGATTGATCAGCCCCAGGGCAGGGAGTCATTATTTATCGCAGCTGGTCCTGGCCTCAGCCATGGCTGGTTTTGTTGCCGTCTGGGCCTGGAGCTGAAATAGAGCTGGGGCCTGGAGCTGAAATAGAGCTGAGGCCTGGATGATATCTCTAGGGAGGAAAAGTCAGGCGGTCCAAACCTAATGACCAGTGATATGCTCGGTGCTAGGGGAGGAAAGGTCACCCTGAGGCGAGGCCTCACCCAACAATTGATTGGGCTTTCCATATTGAAGACCTTCTGTACCTGGCCCGTCATCCTTGCTCTGCTTATGCCTGTTTAATTGTCTACAACATTTATTTCCCTTAAGCATTCAGAAAAAGATAATAATTGGAGGGAAAAATGCTGTCACCCTGCTCACCAAATCTAGCAACTAATCCAAGCAATGCCACCGAGTGACAGTCACACTTCATCACCTGAGACTTTTTTTCTAGTAAAATGATTTCAAGAATAACTTTTAACTCACATCTCTTAATCTGCAACCTCTTATACATATTCTGATAAATATTAGACAAACTATGTTAAGCTTTGTACGATGCAGAATTTTATTATACTAAGCAGGCATGAAAGTTGAGAGCCCTGTAAATATTAATCACAGACTAATGAACAGTGGGAGATTTCTGAATATCAATCTGTACTGGAGGGAAATTTTGAATTAGAGACACCACTTCCTACCCAATAAATCAGTGGTGAAAAATTGAAGGCATTCTCATGCATCAGGTTATTAGCTAGATCTCCCGTCCTAAAGTAGCATGCAGTGCCTGTACCAAAGTAGATGTGATTTTATCACCCCACGTGTAGCTTTTGCATTTTTAACGGGACCATTTTTAAAATTTTAATTACCTCCAAAAGAAGCTGGATTGTATCACCACTTGAGTGCATTCTTTAGTATCAGAGTTAAAATAGTTCAAGAGTACTTAGAGCTTGTCTCCCTCATTCTTCCTCATTAGCATTCAAAAACCATTGCCCAAAGGGACTGGAAAACTCAAGGTGAAGAGGAGAACTGAAATGCCAAAACTTGATTGGCTTATGGCTTTTATTAAATGTGCATATTACTGCTTGTGCCTCTGAGCACATTTACAATGTATAACAGAAAAAAGACAATATATTTGATCATAATTCATAATTTCATAAATGATAGGCACAATCATATATCTACACACCTACATATTTGTAATGACTGTCCATTCATTGATGGGATAGCATTCATTTTCCATAGTCATATTAATACAAGTATGAGAGTAGATAATGATATTTAGGATTTTATATTTTTTGATGCTGACAAAAAGAATGGGATTCAGTTTTCAGTTTGAATTTTTTCTTAAATTCTTTAATATTTAGGTAGCATTTATAACCTTCAGTGTGCATTAATACTTCAATGGGAACATTTAGAAGTAATTGTTAATATGTTTCTTCATTCCATTGTCATCAGGACACAATTTTATCTTTAATACTTATGGTATGAGCTATGCTCACTGAAGACACACACAGTTATTAAAGACACAGGAAAAGAGTAAGTTCCAGATATAAGCCAGAAATAGTAAATGGCATTTTAAAATACTGCAAGTAAATATGGAAAAAGTAATAGTTACTAAATTAAGTAGTAGTATAGCATAATGCTATAATTAAGCATTAGTCACTAACAGTTTTCAATTTTTATCACTCAAAATTTCTACTCATTATAAGCAGGGGAATTATGTTGTTCTTCAATATATTCCCAGTGCTATGTGTTGAGCAGTTGCTCAGTACATATATGACATCTTAATAAAGGATCATTTTTTCAAAAAAATTAAATATATTTTTATATATTTTGAATATGATTAAAAAGTGCTTTACTCAATATTACTAATAAAAATAAAAGCCATTCACATTTCTAGTGGCCAATATGTAATTTGTATATAATATTGCATAGTAATTTCTATCTTATTTTATCTTATTTAACTTACTTATTTTTGGTAGGAAGCCACCAATGGTATAGGTAAGGGTTTCAAAATATGTTTACCCTTGCCATAGGGATTTTAATCATTTTCAGCCAGTATTCAGAAGAAACACTTGTAAAAGCATTAATGTAATTAAAGATGTCCTCAAAAACATTTTTAATTATTTAATTTTTAATTGAATTTAATAGAAAAATGCCCCAAATCTCCAAAGTTCATCATTGTTCAATATAAGACAACCAATACAATGCAGGGATATCATTAAAAACAATAACAATATAAACATGTCAAGGGTGAGAAATGTAACTAGTATTTAAAGTGTTAAGATCATAGAGGTAATCAAGGTGATTCTAAAATGTAATATACAGAAGTCTAATAGTTCTGTATCAAAAAATAATAAATCCACATCTATTAACATAGTCCTTTGAGGTTAATTAAAATGCAAAAGATACAGATAATTATTTAAATAGTTATGTGTCAGAGTTACTAGGAGATCATAAGGAGTAAATGAAGTGAGTGAAATAGACATATAGTCAAGCCTTTTATCGCAGTTAACCAAACTTGTTCAATATCAAAGGTCTAGAGACATACAAAATAACATTTACTTTTTTTAGCCTCTTTTGTTGCAATTAACTAGAGATACTACTTTTCATTATTTTGGTTTCTACAGCATGGATTATAATTGTTTGGCTGTAATGGCCTAGAGTAAGGAGGATGGAAGCACAATTTAAAGGTGAACTCGGAGACAATTAAGAAACAAATTGCTGCACAGCCTGGCAGTGAACACCTGGACTTGTGATGGCCCTTCCCACTGTCCACGGTGCGTCTTTTTATGGTAGCCAGTCTTCATTTTCCTGACTAACTTCAGTTTTTCTTTTTTCAGGTTTGGATTTATCCTTCATAAAGATGAAGCTGCGCTACAAAAAATTGACCTTGAGACCATGTCATACATCAAGACAATTAACTTGAAGAGTTATAAGTGTGTTCCTCAATCGCTGGCATATACACACCTGGGAGGATACTACTTCGTTGGCTGCAAGCCAGACAGCACCGGAGCAATTCCGCCGCAGCTCATAGTGGACAGTGTAACCGACTCAGTCATTGGATTCAACAGTGATGTGACGGGCACTCCCTATGTGTCTCCAGATGGACACTATCTTGTCAGCATTAATGACGTGAAAGGTCTTGTGAGGGTCCAGTACATTACCATCAGAGGCGAAATCCAGGAGGCTTTTGATATTCACACGAATCTGCACTTATCTGACCTGGCCTTTCAGCCGTCCTTTACGGAAGCCCATCAGTACAACATCTACGGGAGCTCCGGCACACAGACAGACGTCCTCTTTGTGGAGCTCTCCTCTGGAAAGGTCAAGATGATAAAGAGCCTTAAGGAGCCACTCAAGGCCGAAGAATGGCCCTGGAACCGGAAGAACAGGCAAATCCAGGACAGCGGCTTGTTTGGGCAATACCTGATGACACCTTCCAAGGACTCTCTCTTTATACTAGATGGACGACTCAATAAGCTAAACTGTGAGATCACTGAAGTTGGAAAAGGAAATACAGTTATTTGGGTTGGAGATGCCTAGGAGCCCTATTAGATAATTATTGAATGAAGAGTTTTCCAGTACATTGCACTTCAGTCATTGTTTAAATTTACAGTTTAATTTTTTCAAGTTTATCTCCTACTCATACTAAAGTTAACTTGATTGTCCCAAATAAAATGGATTTTTTTTTTTTTTGTCGGGGGATACACAATTAGTCATATCAGTTGATTAGAAATTTTTAACACATTATTTAATAAGAAAATATATTAATCACAAGACTCAAATCTATAATTATGTTTTAAGCCAAAAAAAATGGGAATTTAACTACTTAAAAAAATAACTCAACTGCAGGGAATTTCAGATGACTTTTAGCCCCATTTTATGTTAAGGGTGGTTTATCTATTGTTCTTCTGTCCTTTTTTGGTATGCTTATACCAGAAATAAAAGGTATTGGGGAAACTTAAAATTCTTAATTCAAAATACTCTGTCCCATTCACTGTTTAAAATCTTTTGTGCCTTGAGGGAATGTCACAAGAGGGAAAGGAAGGGTAAAAGCTGCATACGGAACACTCATCACTATAAATCTCTTGTCATTAAAAGAGAAATGTTTAACATCTCTTGCACTAAATTCTGCTTTCAGTTATTTGTTTAATGGAATTTCATTTGGAGGCAAAAGTCAGCCTTAGGTTCTATACAGGTGACAAAACTCTATTTGACACTCACTGTATTATCTGCAGCTTGCTATGGAAAATGGGGAAGGAAGGAGGGAAAAAAAATCATTATGGTAAAATGTTTGCAATGTATTCTCTACTCATCTTGCTTTCAATTACTAGAGTGCATTATGTTCACAGTGCAAGTTTGTCTGGGATGTCAACTGCTTACAAACGTTTATTAATAGTAACATAGATTTTTTTTTTCATGTAGTCCAGTGTTGCATCAGCAGGAGCTCTCATTTCTTAAAGAAGAAGCATTATTTTTGTCTGCTTAGAGTAAAACATATGTAGGAAAATTAACACCAGAGAGTAAAAAGCTGGCTAGAGAACTGATGAATATTAGTGTTTTAGGAGAATTAGTTTAAAAATTGGAAATGAGGGGATAACTCCACAGTGGTGAGTAAAAATGTATGTCACCATTGCCTTTACTATTTACATATAACCCATCAAAAAAACTTCATTCTTTAACAACTTTCCTAAGTGACTTCTGTTAAACTCCTACGTCATCCTTAAATGACCCACTCACTAATTCTATGCTGTAGTTCAAAACCTAACTAATCTTATTTGAGGCACTGCATAGAAGTAAAAAAATAAAAATAAAAAATGCATTTTTAAAGGTATAAATAAGGCCAGTGGAAGTGGATTAAAACTAGAGAGTTGGTTTATTGAAATAAGCAGATCATTATCTAGGCTTAAAGTAATAGCTTACATGTTTTGAGAACCTTTTACTTACTTTTGCTTTGTTGCTGCTAAAAATGCTAATGGGCTGTTGAAATGACCTCCATATACTGAAGGTAATCCAATAAGGTCTTTTTTAAATACAAATTTTACTCAAGTTTAAATTGTGTAAAACTGCTTAGAAACCTGAAATTTTATATATAGTGTGTAATATCTTATGTGTATATAGCATCCTGAACTGTGTGATACAGTAGATTTCTTCTTAGCTTAAGGAAACATTATGGGAGGTAGATTTAATAAACAACAAAATCAGCTTATGTTTCTACTTATCTGCTTTCCTTTCTAGCAATTTCCTCCCTTGTGAACCTGAACCATATTAAGTGTCTGTTCCTAATGATTTAATGTAAGTCTGTCTCACCCATCCTCCTTTGGTAGCTTACACCATGTGGATGCTCCATCTGTAGACATTGCTTGATAAAAGGAGAATAAACTTCTTACCTTTTAAACTTTGAGAGTTCAGTCAATGCTTTCATGTGCATACCAATGTTTTGTGTGTTCTCCCATTGCTTCAAACACATGCTGGTGCTCCCCATTATTTTGAAAGTGATGGGATGGAGTAGAAAGCATGTGAAGTGAGATCAAATAAGAAAAGACAATTTAGTTTGCCTTTTTATAAACAATTCTAAGTTGCAATTTCTCTTCATATTCAATGTTTAAAGCAAGGAATTTATCATTTTTCAAGTCTCTATTTCTTTAGAATCCCTTCGTGTGTATTAAAGTGATGAGTATCAGAATGGAATATCAAAAGGAAACTCAAAGGAAAATCTTTTCCTTTCCATATCGTTATACCATTAAACAAACAAATATTGAGTCATTTTTTTAAAAACATTGTAATAAAACACTGACATTTGTGATTCTTTGAAAAAAGCAGATGCAGTGTTATAATATTTTCTGAGGTAGACATTTCCTTTTTTGAGAATGAAGGGAAAGAGAGTAAAAGTTACCATGCAGGGCAACAGCATTATTTTATTCACATCCTGGTAAACGTGTATTGCAAATAATGCTTTCAGCAATAATGTGTAAAAGCTTAGAAAAACTATAATAAAATAATGACATAACTTCTCTATAAAGAAAGTCTAACATCAAAGAGTACATTTTTAATGACCACTCTTTTTAAAAGAGTAAAGTGATAGCAAAAAGTGGTTTTTTTCCCTATAAAATTATCTGGTGATAATTGTGTGATAGAAATGAAGGTCATTAAATGAGAAAAAAAAGTGTAAAACCAAGAATGGGAATAAGATGTGGTATAGTCCTAGAACAAAGTGACAGGAGGAAGTAAATATTTATGTAAAGAAGACGATATAAATAAAGCAAGAAAAGTAGGTTCTGAACAGCTTTTGGAGGAAGTGAAGGAGGGAAGTAAAGAGTGAAACCAATTTAAATAATTTGGACATAATCCAGACAATAGGGACTCAACAATAAAGAAAAGGAAATGGCAATGAAAACACTTTTAAAATTTATTATTTTAAAATATGTTTTTGTTTATTTTTTTTAAGATAGAGAGGAAGGAAGAGGGATAGAGAGATGGAGACATTGTTGAGAGAGGAACATCATGGATCGGCTGGCTCTTGCACACCCCCTACTGGGGATTGAGCCAGTAACCTAGTCATGTGCCCCTACCAGGAAATGACCAGGAACCTCTTGGTTCCTGTGTCTACAGCACTAAGCCACACAGGCCGAACAAGTTTATTATCTTTTAATGGAATGAAAATTTGACAGGAGAAATGGGGGATTAGAGGACAAGGTATCAGTTGGGAAGCTATTGCAGCAATGTAATGGAGGTCTTTAAGGCAATTACATTGAAAGTATATATTATAAAATGGGCATGTTAAAGAATCATACTTGAAATGAAAAATAAGTATGGATCATAAAAAAAGACAGACAAGAAAGGTCTCAAACATAAAATTATTAACAGAAATAAGAAACCCAGAAAGGAGAAACAGATTTAGGTGAGAGAAAGGTTTAAGTAGCTCTGGCCAGTGTTGCTTAGCAGGTTGAGCATAGTTCCATGCACCCATACTGGTTGAATTTCCAACCAGGAGGCAGCCAATCAGTGGTTCTCTCTCATCATTGATGTTTCTATCTCTCCTTCTCCCTTCCTCTCTGAAGTCAATAAAAAATATATTTTTTTTAAAAAAGTTCTTCACAGGGTTTCAATTGGAGTGTCGTCCCATAAACCAAAAGGTTGTGGCTTTGATTCCCTGTCAGGGCACATACCTAGATAGAAGGTTCAATCCTTTTCCAGCACATGTGGAAGGTAACCAATCCAAGTTTCTCTCCTCAGACTGATGTTTCTCTTATTCTCTTTCACCCTTTCTCTAAAATCAATAAAAACATATTCACGGGTGAGGATTAAAAAAAAATTTTATAGATGAAACTGTACATTCAATCATATCTGACAACATATGTAAATTTTTAATGTGAGAAAAATATTAAGAACAATATTGTCATCACATAAATCAATACAACTCTATTGTAAGATGACAATGTACAACCCAACATTATAACATTAAGAACTCAAAAAGGTCTGCTTGTAATTTCCCTTGTCATACATATATTTACCATTTAGCTGTTTTTATATGAATGGGTAATGGGAACAAAAACAGCACCTATTGAAAGTCTATTTCTTCCAAACATTTACCTCTCCTGGGAACTTCATACACAGAGACATGTTCTGAAAGTCATGCTAGATAAATTCTCTTGTGCAATCTTAAAGCATTGCAACTTTTCTCATCTTCCCAGAAGACCAAATCTTAACCTGATCATGTTAGCATATTTTTGTTTGCTTGCAAATAATACAACACATAATCCTATTAGTAAATGGAAAAGTGCTTTGCTTTCCAGTGGTAGTCCTCAGAAAATGTACCTCTCTCTGTGATATTGAGTGGGCACTGCACAGCTATTTTACAGTAATTTACAGCTACAGTTGGTGAATTAGAAAAGTTTTAACCTTTGTTATTTTATAGTAGAGGCCCAGTGAATGAACTTGTGCACTGGTGGGGTCCAGCCATCCCACCCCGATGGGGGCAGGGGCAATTGGGAATAGGGCTGGCTGGGGGAGGGGCCCTGGGCAGTTGGCGGGCCCCGCCCCTGGTTGAACTCCGGTCAAACTCCCAGTTGAGGGGACAATTTTCATATTACTTTTATTACATAGGATTAGAGTTCAGGAATGGTAAAATGTCAATACGTTTATCTACTTTTATTAATACTGATTTTCACAATTTTATTGCTATCTAATATGCTATGTAATTTATTGTGCATTTGTTTATTATCTGCATAACCCCATCTAACACATGCACATTATGCAGCCCAAGGAGAACAGGGGTTTTTCTGTTTTGTTTATACATCTAGAGAGGGCTTGTTATGTACTAGGCACATACTAAGCAGTCAGTAAATGTGTGAGATGATTAAAGTACCATTTCAATTGAACTCACACTATTATTTAGTCTCTACAGAATATATGTTTAACTTTTTGAGAATCTCAAATAACTATGGCAAAAATATGTGCTTTGAATGTTATTAAACTGTGATAATTAAACGTAGCATCATTTGGCCAGGTGTTTTATATTTAATAATCTCCAATTCTCTATTGTATTAAAGCTAATAGACATATAATGAACAGTTGGATAGATGATGTCTTTTTAAACATTTGCCATCTCAAATTAAATGCAATTGCTTATGTAAACATGATGTTTGTTTTGTGGAAGATTAATCCCTTTCATATATTATTAAATTCTAAATTAATATATATCATCTTTTAGTTATTTATAGAAGCATATAATCCTTTATATATTAGCCTTGCCTCAAGAAGCATGCACATATGAAATAAAAATATAGTATCCTACAAAAATATCAGTAAATTTTGAAATAAAAATTTGTATTTCTGATTTGAGATTAATTCAAGTCAAAAGTTTACCATTAATTGTTGAAATTAACAAAAATTATATTTAAACTTCTATTAATTGTTTAATGAATTTATGTTTTCCTCAACATGCAACATCATATAACTTGCTTTTGATTTCTCTTACTCTTATGTATTGTGCATAAAACTTTTCATTGTTATCCAACTATAGTCAACCTCTTATTCCATTATTAGTGCAGTTTCTATTTTTTGCTATATATATCATTAGTTATGAATATTTGGACTTAGTACCACCATCCAAAAAAATTATACTGTTTGCAAAAAATCAAATGATAATAAGAAAATGTACTTCTTATACTCAAAGTGCTGAGGTATGTTATTTAGAAACTGTATTTTTGAATTGTCCCTGGTTTTTATAAAAACCAAGCAAAAATATGTCCAAGTCTAAG